TCGAAGCCAAAAAAAGTGAATAACTAAATAAAAATGCACAATTCAGTGGAGGCCACGTGTGCGCACGAGCTTACTTCTGAAATCCCGTGTGATTTTTTACACATGAAGGAGCCATCTGCGGCCGGGGTGCTCGTCCAGCCCTGAGGACTGGGGGATAGAAGTTCCATGTCCCCCCAAAAGCTATGACTGGCCACAGGGAGCCGGGGGCCTGGCCACCACGGCAGTCAGCTCCCCTAGACGGGCAGCTCCCTCTTTGTTCTATGTGCCCGGCGTCCTAGTGACCGGGGCCGCTGAGCTCAGGAGGCACCGCGTGGCTTCGGAAGGGCCAGGGCTCCTATGCAGGTGTCCCCCCTGCGGACTGTCCCCAGCAGCCAGGTGTTAAGAATCTGCAAGCAGCAACGTGACCTCTACCTATTAAAAAATAAACATCGAACCCAAGCAAGCTGCATGCCGGGGGCCACCTGTGGCTGCCGCCTGATGTGACGCACCGTGTTGCGTGGGTGCAGAGCCACGCCCGTTTCCACGTAACGGCCACGGCTCCCGTTCTGCCCTAAGGACAGAGAGTCTTATTATCATATTCGTCATCTGGCCCTGGTCGAAACCTCACATGACCATTCGCTAAGAATTTTGAAGAAAAAAGAGATCTCCACTAAAATAATGTCTGGAAACAGTCAGAACCGAGATATTGCAAACAGATCGGAAACTGAGCGACCGATGTGTTCGTGGCAATTTCAATGTGCTTGATTCGGGCACGTTCTTGTCTCAAGCCTTTAGTAAGTCATGGATGTTCTTTTAATACTCGCAGATTCAGGATTAAAAAATTTGAAATCGAATGGACCTGGCTCTTACTTTGGACTTAGGAGAAGCCGCTGCTCTGAAAATGTGCTCAGGGTCCGCTACGGGCCACCTCGGTCTCCTGCCATTCACAGGTTGCAGCCCGAACCCCCGGGACCTCCGCAAGTGACCGTACATGCAGACGGGGTCTTTACGGAGGGAATTTAGGTAAAAATGAGGTCACGTGGGTGGCCCTGATCCCATAGGACTACGTCCTTATAAAAAGATGAACGCAGACACACACAGAGGGACCACGTAAGCACACGGGGAGGGGACGGCGTCCACATGTCCAGGAGAGAGGCCCCGGGAGGGACCGGCCCTGCCCACACCTGTGTCTCGGACGTCAGCCTCCAGGACGCGGGATAATAAGTGGCTGCTGTTTAAGCCACGTAGGCTGCAGCCTCGGTTCTATGAGCCGTGACAAACTAACTCAGATTTAGGGCTGTTTTTCACAGTGAATCGCACACGCGCACACGCACGGACACACAGACACACACACGCACACACGCAATGTCAATGCAGAGCCCGCATCCGGGGCCCCAGCGGTGCGTATGGCCTGCGCTTTTTGGTCCTGAGCGTCACCGCTCCGGCCTCCCTCAGCGTGCCGATCCCTCGGCACGGAGGCCGACGTTCACATCCACCCGCGAGGGGACAGCTGTGCCTCACGGGCCAGCCACACACACGACGAAGCATAGAAAGCGTCACCTAGGATCACGGTCATGCCGAGTCTGGCCAGGCGCTTGGCGGTGGCATAGCCGATCCCGTCCGTGCCGCCCGTCACGATGGCGACCCGATCCGGTTGTGGCGGGAACACTGTGCAAGAAAAAAAAAAAAACACACAAGCAGAGTGAGGTTCTGGGGCGAGGCCGAGTGGGGGAGTACACGGCCCCCCGCCCCCGCGGGCCAGCTGAGCGGCGCTGCTGTGCGCGCCCGTCTCGGATGCCCACGGGCTCGGGGGCGCCCCGGTCACCCCGGCTGCTCACAGCCTGGGAAAGACGCCCCCCCTCCCTCGGGCTCCGCCCCCACGGATGCCTTTGGCAGAATATGCTGGAAGGTGCTGCCAAAATGAGCTGTGCCAAGGTCTGAGCGAGGTGTGGTGCTGACGGCCGTAGGCGAGGCGCCTGGGTGAACCCCTCCGGCGGCCGTGACCCCGCGTGTTGCTGTTTCTGTCCGGAAGTGGATGTCGACTGATCGGCCAAGTTCGGGATGGGGGGCGGGCACCGGAGCGGGGACCACTGCCAACCAAGGACACAGTTGGCGCCTCACTGTTCCCACAGGGCGCACCCCACGGCACAGAGTGTGACACTGGGAAGCAGCAGGGCCAGGCGGGAGGGGGGGCCGTGGGGCCGTGGACCAGTGTTCACGTGGTTTCTGCAGGAAGGGACGGGCAGGCGCGGACGGCAGGGCGGGGACGCAGGGGTGGGGGCGTCCCAGGACCTAGCTGGGTGCGCTGGCCTCTGTCGAGCGGCTGCCTAGCCCCGGAAGCATCGGCACATGACACGAGCCCCAAAGCTGGGCTTTTTAGTAAACAGCCTTAGGACAGCTGAATAGCCATTTGGAAAGAGTATAAAATTAGATTCATGCCTCGCGGTACCTATCAAAAAAAACGCCGAAAGGGTAAAATTTAAACAGCGGAAATATTAGGAGAAAGCACAAGTTAACATATTTTTAACCTCGGAGCAGGAAACACCCTCCTGACTCTCAGCCAAAGTGGAGGACAATCAACGGACAAATTTCACTACTGAAAACGTGTGTTACACGCTGAGGAAAACACCATATACGCAAAGTCGAAAGTGCGTGACAAACAAGCAGAAAATCTGCAACCGCTCTCACGTTCCCAGGGCTGTGCGCCTAATCTTAGAGTGTTTAAAAATCAAGGAAAATATCAAACACCCTACAGAGAAAACGGGCAAACGTAACCGTTTATGTGAAAACGTGTCCAAATGGCCCTTGAAAACGTACGCTCGGCTTCGCAGCTGAGACATGTGTTCATTAACACCGGGAAGACGCCCCCTCACGTATGGCATGGGCAGAAGTTCCAATGCTTCGACGTCCCCTTTGTCTGGCACGGCGATGGGGACCAGGCACCCCCATACTCTCTGGGTGGGAGTGCAAGACGGCTAAACCATCCCAGGGGGACACGGGGAGATTTCGAGAGCCATTTCGTACGCATTTGTCCTTTGAGCCGGCCAAGTCGGTTCCCAACATCAGCCACGAGGAAGCCAAGGTCAAGTGCTCCCAGCGCAGGTGACAAACTGTCCCTCTGGCGGGGCCGGCTTAGAGCCCCTGGTTACAAACCCGCCACCGGTGCGGGCGACACAGGATTCCCCCCGTGCTCAGCCATCTCAGTCATGAAGGAGAGGGATGGTCCCACGGGAAGCCCCCGCACTTGCCCACCAGACAGAGCTGGCAGGGTCCCCTCCCCTTGGGGACCCCAGGGGGCCGTACACGCTCAGCCACAGTCTGAAAACGTTCGGCGGAAAATGGAAAATTCCAGACGTAAACAGCTCCTAAGCGCTAAATCGTGGGCGGGTCCGAGCCGAATGAGGAAATCTCACCCCACCCCGCTGTGGCCAGTGGGGGGACGTGACTCCTCCCTCTGTCCCCTGTAGATGCTCCCCGCCGTTTGTGACTTAGTGGCCGGCTTGGGGATCCAAGGAGCCATCACAGAGAAAGGGCACGTTCTCACGGCCCCGTTTCTGCCGTTAAGTCCTCACTGTGCGCGATGTCCACGTGAACCGTGGTGACAGGTGCGTTTGCACGGGGATAAACCGCACTGCACCACGTTCCGTGCTGTCCCCTGCGGTCTTCAGACACGGCCCCCGAGCACGAGTGGCCGCGAGTGTCCCAGGGACACAGCTGCCCGGAATCTCTGGCAGCTCCGAGACAGGGCGACGCAGGACGCAGGACGCAGGACGCAGGACGCAGGACGCAGGACGCAGGACGCACGACGCACGACGCACGACGCACGACGCACGACGCACGACGCACGACGATGACGAACCCTGCACGAGCCCTGACCCCTTCATCTCGACAGAAAGCCGAGCGGGAAGCACAGTGACCGGAACACGGCGGCCTGGAGCAGGTGTCCCCAGACCCGCTGCAGAGGGCAGGCGGACCGGCCAGGCGGGTCTGCGGCGTCGCTAGAGAAAACACACAGCTGCCTGCAGAAAGCGCATGTCTTATCCGTAAATGAAAAATGCGAAAAATGCAGATTCCGTGTCTACGAATGAAATACCTGCAAAACGTGTACTTTACAGGAATTTAAATGACATGTCTGTAAAAAGTGCCTTTTATAGAAATCGAAATGAAATGTCCGTAAAACATGTATTTTATAGAAATATATATAAATGAAATATCTGTGAAACGCGCACTTTATAGAAATTTAAATGAAATTTCTGTAAAACGTGTATTTTATAAAAATATATATTAATGAAACATCTGTAAAACGCGTATTTTCTACAAATTTAAATGAAATATCTGTAAAGATTCCGTGTCTACGAATGAAATACCTGCAAAACATGTACTTTATATGAAATGTGTGTAAAAAGTGCCTTTTATAGAAATTGAAATGGAATGTCCGTAAAACGTGTATTTTATACAAATATATATAAATGAAACATCTGTAAAATGAGTATTTTATAGAAACTTAAATGAAATATCTGTAAAACGCGCACTTTATAGAAATTTAAATGAAATTTCTATAAAACGTGTATTTTATAGAAATATATATTAACGAAACATCTGTAAAACGCGCATTTTCTACAAATTTAAATGAAATACCTGAAAACGCGCAAAACATCTGTAAAACGCGTATTTTCTACAAATTTAAATGAAATATCTGTAAAACGCGCATTTTCTACAAATTTAAATGAAATATCTGTAAAATGTGTATTTTATAGACATTTAAATGAAATGTCCGTAAAACACACATTTTATAGAAATTTAAATGAAATGTCCGTAAAACACACATTTTATAGAAATTTAAACGAAATGTCCGTAAAACACATTTTATAGAAATTTAAATGAAATATCTGTAAAATGCACAGTTTATAGAAATTTAAATATCTATAAAACATGTATTTTATAGAATTATATATTAATGAAATATCTATAAAACGTGTATTTTATAGACATTTAAATGAAATGTCTGTAAAATGCATATTTTATAGAAATATATATAAATGAAATCTTTAATACGTGTATTTTATAGAGATTTAAATGAAATATCTGTAAAATATGTCTTTTATAAAAATATAAGTGAAATGTCTGAAAAACGCGTGTTTTCTAGAAACAAATGAACTATATAGAAAGTGCATTTTATATAAGTATAAGGCATACATAAAACCTATTTTATATAAATATAAATGAAATTACATAAAATACATATTTCATAGAAATGTAAATGAAAACGCGCACTTTATAGAAATTTAAATGAAATTTCTATAAAACGTGTATTTTATAGAAATATATATTAACGAAACATCTGTAAAACGCGCATTTTCTACAAATTTAAATGAAATACCTGTAAAACGCGCACTTTAAAGAAATTTAAATGAAATATCTGTAAAATGTGTATTTTATAGAAATTGAAATGTCCGTAAAACACACATTTTATAGAAATTTAAACGAAATGTCCTAAAACACACTTTATAGAAATTTAAATGAAATGTCCGTAAAACACACATTTTATAGAAATTTAAACGAAATGTCCGTAAAACACATTTTATAGAAATTTAAATGAAATATCTGTAAAATGCACAGTTTATAGAAATTTAAATATCTATAAAACATGTATTTTATAGAATTATATATTAATGAAATATCTATAAAACGTGTATTTTATAGACATTTAAATGAAATGTCTGTAAAATGCATATTTTATAGAAATATATATAAATGAAATATCTTTAATACGTGTATTTTATAGAGATTTAAATGAAATACCTGTAAAATATGTTTTATAAAAATAAAAATATAAGTGAAATGTCTGAAAAACGCGTGTTTTCTAGAAACATAAATGAACTATATAGAAAGTGCATTTTATATAAGGCATACATAAAACCTATTTTATATAAATATAAATGAAATTACATAAAATACATATTTCATAGAAATATAAATGAAGTATGCTTATATTTCAATATTCATCCATGTTTTATATTTTTATTTTGTTTAAAAAAATTATATTAAATATTCAATATTTTGTTTATTTTAGTATATGAAAATAAGTAAAATAATAAACATGATTTGTTTTTTCATAATAAGTAGTATAATAAATATTTTATTCCCCTACAAATATATGTAGATAGATATTAAATATATAACAGGCGTCAGTGAATGGGAGAAGTAAACGTAAGAAAGGAATCTCGGAGATAATTCTTCGTTAGTGGACAACGCAATGGCTGCAGGATAAAGACAAAATGGTAGATTTGACCATAGATCCACAGCGATGACTCACACTGAGATACGGAGAGAAAACACTGTTTAAAGTAAAAAAAGCGAGACGTGCTCAAGTTTGGGGACGGTGTTGAAGGGTCCAGCAGCCACACCCCGGGAGGAGAAGACGGACGACGTGTCTTGACAGGTGACGGCTGGGAAGTTTGTATCGAAAGGAGGACGATTTTCATTCCCTTCTAGGTGGCTTTGTGCGTTTCCCAAATCTGAGTGGACAGAGTTCCGTGGCACCACGTCCTCGGCAAAGCGTTCCGCAGACGCGCGCGGGTGTCCCAGCGAGACACTTTGCGTTGACGTGACGATGTCCTGCACAGTGTGACGTGGCCGACGGACGGCCGCGAGCAGCTGGCACAGGCGCCCCTTCCTGGTAC